AATATTATGGTCCAGGTACAGTGGCTCATGCCTGTAATCCTAGCACTCTGGTAGGCTGAGATGGAAAGATCACTTGAGATCAGGAGTTCGAGACCAGCCTGAGCAAGAGCGAGACCCTGTCTCTACTAAATATAGAAAAGTTACCCAGTCGCAGTGGCATACACCCGTAATCCCAGCTACTTGGGAGGCTGAGGCAGGAGAATAGTTTGAGCCCAGGACTTTGAAGTTTCTGTGAGCTAGGCTGATGGCACAGCACTCTAGCCCAGGCGACAGAGTGAGACTCCATCTCAAAAAAAAGATAATAATAATTAAAAAATCAACATTAACTATATATGTCTTTAAATATCGAAAACTGTAATTCTGTCCATCAGGACCAGAGCCTAGGTTACAATTTCTGATTCCAAAAGCATACAGAGTACCTAGTAGCACTACAGTGATTTGATGAGGCCGTTCTGAAATACATGACCCGCTTTCGGCCCTCTGTGAAACAGGTTTAATTCACTCCAATTAAAGGAGTGTCAGAGTCCAGTGTTATAGTATATTTAACAGATATTTATGCATCACTGTGCCTTCACACGTGCTGGAACTTCACACATAGGCATATTCATCAGAGGCAGTATGGGACGTTGAAAGACATGCTGAATTTAAAAGAGAGCCTAACTTCGATTTTCACTTACTAGCTTCACTTTCTTGGAAAAGTACCATAACCTCTGTGAGCCTGTTTCTGATTTCTAAAATGGGTAAAATAATAAATGAGAAATAGAAACAAAAGAGATTTCTAAAGAAGAGGTTGTATAAAGTGTTACACAAAGGCTCGATAATGTTACACTATCGCCTTACCATGAGAAGAATTTGTAAGGCATACCTTACACCTATTAAATTTGGTAAATTTTGGTTCTTGACTGAAATTATATGCACCTTTGTCATTTTATTGTGTTGATTCAGTGCCCAATAGTGATGAAAATGTATTTCCTTGGTGTTTGGCCTAGACTCCATTATGGTGAATGGTCTGCCCTCTTCTCCCATCGGGCAGGTGAAAAATAGTGGTTCTGCCCTCTTTTTCTCAACCCCATGCCAAACCCTGGGGACTCATCTCAGAAACTGCTCTTGATTTAATAAGTATTAAGTATGAATAAAGAGGGATCCTTTGCCTTTAAATGTGTTTTACTTTGTGTGCTTTGAAAGTTACTTTTCATTTTGAAGCCTGTCAATTTAGGAAACAACTTAAGGAAAGAAATACTCTGATTTCACTTTCTAACAAATAATTATTTAATGTATGGTACGATAAAATAGATTTTTGATAGTATTTATTTTTACATACTATTTTGGTAAATGTAATTTAGCATTTGAAAATTGTAAAGACCTACTACTTGATACCTTGATATGCAATTTAAAAGTGAGTATACATTTTATTTTATTTCAGATTAAGTCTCTCAGCAAAAATCTGTGAGAAAACAGTCCTGAAGCGAGCTTTGAAGGAACTATGGAAGCTAGTCCTTAACAAAATAGAAAAACAAATTGTTCTTCCTCCTCTGACAGATCAAACAGTAAGTATTTAAACTTTAGTTGTTATACTTTCAATAACCCATTTGTTCTTTGTCTAAATGAATAGTTTTGATCCAGACGAAATACTAATTAAATCCATTTTGAGAAAAAAAAAGTGTTTGGTATACAGCTTCTCAACAATGATGATTTAAATTGCATTTTTCTATTCAAGTCCGTTTTAAATTGTGGCAATAGGAGACAGACTGCATACTTACTTGACATTCAAAACTTTATCTCTTAAAAAATATATCAAAGTTCAACTCATAATGTTATTTAGCCTACACATATAATTTTTTATTTAATTTTACTGTGACCACAGGAAAATAGATTTAAGATACAATATATCTATTGTGTTTCCTTCTTAAATTTTACAGTTTGAAGAGATAGTTCCAACACTGCTATATGGAATTTTTTTCACCTTTCCATTCTGCTTTTCTTTATTACCTTCCCACTTGGAGGTTAATAGAGGAGGCACCTTTTAGGGGATTTGAAGAATGTGGTTGTATCACACACAGAGAAATATAAAAGAACCAGAAAGATCAATTGGCAGCAAAATTAGACAAGGGTCAAGTGGATACACAGTGCTGGGTATCTCAGTTCACATGCCTTGAGCCAAGCAAGAAAAAAATAACCCTAATAAGCACCTGTTAAGGAGTAATTGATATTTTTTTCTGTGATTGAGGCAGTTGATACAAATATTGAGTAATTATAAACAAAATGAAAATACTTATTAACTCCATAATTATGCATGTTTATCCAGTAAAATTATATGTACAGGAAATATTTTCTTATAAAGTGTTTCAAGATGCAAAGATGCATATGTTTTTGTTGATTTACCGCCAGACAGTGAGTAATAAAATACAAATTACTTTCGGTTTTGCTTAATGCCAGGAATATGTGGTTTAATCATTTATGGTCTACATAAACAGGTAGCCTAATCACATATATAAATACACACACACACACACCTTATTTTGATAAAGTGCATAATACATTTCTGTAACACCAATTAGTTCTCATGTAATTGTTCAATATTGGAGATGATGTCAGTATAATCTGGAAGTTGAATTGGTTTCTATGTAAATTTCCCTACATCAGAGACTCTGGAATATGATAGAAGAACTATAACTTCAGCAGAAAAAGAAAGAGCTTTCACTTTGGCTACTGCACAGGCCTGCTTTTTTTTAAAAAAAAAAAGAGGGGAGTACTTGCACATAGACTCCCTCTCCAGATCATTACACCTTGCAGGCTCTCACACAGGACAGGCTACCCTCCACCTTTGTTGCGAGCTCCACTTGCATGGGCATTGTCTCAGTCCACGGTTGAACTATATTGTTTTGTGTTCGTTTGAATTGTTTTTTTTTTTTTTTTTGCATTTTTAATATCCCTTGAGGCAGCCACCAACCACACTGAGTTCCCCTCCAGCTGTCCAAGCCATGTCCCAAAGTAGCAATTATTATCTTTAATAGTTCTTTAGTAACAAAATCGCATGGACTTTGACTGCATTGTCCACCGCCATTTTCCCCATAATCCCTATTACTTTTAATGTACAATCTTGTAGAATATGAGGTTTTTCAAAAATGTATATATCGCATTACAGTAGAAATGCTATATATGACACTTCATTTTCTTTATAAAGTTTTCCCTAGGAAAGCTTACCATCACCTGAAATTTCTCTCGCATTGGGATCTCGAAGTGTGAACCTATATCATTCATTCATTTGTTCATAGAATAAATATTTTTTGAGATGCTACTATGTACTAGGCACTGTACTGGGTTATGAAAACAAAATAGGAGCAAAACTAGCTACTGTCTATTGATTACATTTCTTTTGTGACTAATACTGCAGATCTTAAGACTGAGTCTTCTCTCTCTTTTTCTTTGTATGTGTCTAGGGACCCCAGATGATTTTCATTGCAGCTAAAGATATTGGACAGTTATCCAAACTGAAGGTAATAAGAATAAGGAAATTACTGGTTGTCCATGAAAAGTAATGAGTTAACTACAGTTCTACAAGAAACCACCCTCATACTACTGATCGTAACTAGCATGGTAGGATTAAGGAGATGTCTGTCTGTGATCTCACAATTTGCTTTATGAATTTTTAACTTTGTATTGTAGCATTCAGCATTATTTCTTTTGGAGTAAATAGAGAACATATTTTATTTATATATTAAACTGGCTTTGTATGAATGAGGGAAAAATGGAACCCTGCATAGAAATCCAGTCTTAAAGCCAAGAAACACAAACATGGAGAAATGAAACTTATCAAAACAGACATTGAGCTTGTCAATATGTTCTATCCCATTATGAGTGGAGATGTTCTGACTAAATAACCTGACCCTTAATTAAGATTCCCAAAACTCTGGAGTTACGGAGGGAACCTCAGTCCCTATCCCTCTAGGATAGGAGCTTGACAGGTTAAACTACGTGTTTTTTATTTCATTCTACCTACCAGCATATAGCTAAGGGATAGGTTTTAGACAAAGATGATCTTGGTTTGTATTCTTCCTCAACTGCTTCTAGCTATGTGATATGGGCCAAAGTATTTAACCTTTTAATCTTCAGATTCAGCATTTGTAAAATGCAAAAAAAATTAACACTTGGTTATTAGGATTGTTGCAGGTGTAAGTGAAATAATGCATACATCACCTTTGCTTGGTAACTGCAAAGAGTATGCTACCTCCCACTTACAGAGGGAGCTTCTCCCCCAGGTCGTAGCTCAAAGTTAGGTGTCACTGGGTGTTGTATTGTTTTGTGTGTACAATGTGGGGAAGGACACCAATGTGTTTAGTTATTTACTGAGGTAAAATGCATGCCTTATAATTTCGGTATCTTATTTTATCATCTACATTATCCCCTTCTTGAGAAAAAAATTTAAAACCAATAATCCATCTAGAAGACATAAGCATCACCTAAAATTGTTTCTCAGCGGTGTTCAGTGCTGTTGATGGTTAAGAGGAAAGACAGAAGGCAGATGTCACTGCCAAACTACTGTTTTGGATGTTGGATCCCTGTCCCTTTCTTAATCCCTTCTATTACCTCCATGGCACTTCTGAAGCCTACTTTGAAGAGTGGATTTATATAGTGCTGAAGTTTCTCACATAAAATCATGAAGGTGAAATAGCATAGGAATCGTTGCAAAAGAAATGGCCCTGGCCATGCATCTAGCATTTGTGTGATATTAGTAAACACACTCCGTGTCCCTGGGCTTTAGTTTCCTGAGCTGAATGTTTTAGTAGATAGAATTGTTTCAGTTCAAGTGATGGGAAGACAAACTAACACAATCAAAGAGGGAATTTATTGCTATGTAAAGTTTTATAGTCCAGGGGAACTCTGGTTGCTATTACTGCTTGATTAGAGGTTTAAACAATGTTGAATCTGCTCACTCACTGTCTTTCAACTCTGCCCTTCTCTTTGATTAATGTCTTGCCATAACAGAGCTTCCTTCCTGTTTGTAAGATGGTTGTCTCTGCCCTTACATCCTTTGATGTCACATCCTTTCAATTTCAAATCTTGTAGAAAAGAACACCCATCTCAGTGCAAGGAACACCAATAAAGTCTACTGGCACATCATTGACTCTGAGGGAGTGTGGGCACCATTCCTAAGCCAATCACTATGTCCTATGCCAGTTTAACTCACATGCCTACCCTTGAACTGGGGCTGCAGTCAGCCCTGTCCAGATCTTATGAACTCCGAATGGGCTAGAGACTGGCTCTCCAGAGGGTATATACATGCTGATGGGAAAAATCAGAGTACACAGAAAACATCCATTAGCACCTTTTGTGGCCCCCCCCAATTTTTTTCAATTTAGTGAAATTTTTTGTTCTAATAACCTAAAAGCAAACTATGAATAAAATGGCCTGACAATATTATTTCAACAACATTGAAATAATCTGAAAGATTAAAAATAAAACCTCATTATCCATTGATAATGAGAAAAATAAGTCATTTCTAGATCATGTTATTCTATTATTGGCCCTTGATTTTTTATTTTTTCAACAGTTAGCCATTCTGTTTTTACAACAGGTTTATTTTTTAATGAAATACAACTGATCAGCTCTGTAATAATTCATGTCACACTTGAAGTCAGTTTTTCTCTTTCTAGTAAAAACATACCTTGTTCTGTGTATAGCTCAATAAACAAGTGCAATGGGAGAGCAGTCTTGGACAACTTTTAAGAAAAGATGACAGTGAGGCATTGTGGGAAGTTATATAAAAAAATGGGAAATTAAATACAATTCAAAAATTTAAAAAAAATAAACAATATCTTACATATGTTTGTCATGTACACTTCTTGCCTATTGTAAGGATGACTGTAAGAGTCATTTGGGAGAGAGCCTAAAAGACGTTGACTTTTTATTTTTAAATTATTAGTCTAGTTATTATTTAAATTAAAGAGCAGTAAAAATCCTCTACAATCTCATACAAAAAATTGAAACTCTAGCTGGGTGAAGACATTCAAATTTTACGATGCTATTACTCTTATTTTACTAGATTGTCATTTCTATTTTTTAAAAAAAATTTAAACCATAGGTCTTTAAATTTTTAATATGTTAGTTTGAAAGCAGATTTGATTTATTGGAAAGGTGCTATTTGAAATAATTGTACTTATGGATGAATAATTTCAGACCTTCTATTTAGAAACACTAATAGATAACTACTTTATTTAAATAAACACAAGATGAAGAAAAATAAAACAATGTAAGGAACTAATTGATTTCCTACATTTAACTATGATTTAGGATTAATTCATTAAACACATATTTACTCAACAGATTGACATATTTTATATTACTTCATACTCTGGAACTTTATAATGTATGTATATTATATATGTCTGATATTACTATTTGGTGTGGTTGGATTTAATTGACATAAAATGAAAAAAAATGTATAAATCTTCATGAAGTAGTGATACAATATCAAAACCAATTAATGAAATACACCTGAGACTGTGAGTTTACTTCAAGCTTTTCACTTGGACAGTAACTCATTGCTGGCTTCCTTCAAAGACCCCCTTGAAATGCTGACCTCTTTCAGAGACCCCACTTCATTGAATGAACTGTTGTTAAATCCAAAAAAAATGTTTCTAGCAAGAATTATATTTTTCCATAACACTAACAAAAATTATTAATATCTTTTACAAAATAATGTGATCACATTATAAAACTGTGAAGATTGATAAAGGCAGAGAAATTTATCTGATATAAAATATTTGTAATTACTTGTCAAAAGCATTTCCCCCTATAATTCAGCCAACATTTTCTATTACTCTTTGAGTCTCAGTAGGTGTTTAACATTACTACTTAAAAATATTAAATGAACTCATATGTTTCAGCTGAAATCCCTATATCAGAGAAAAATGCAGTAAGATGCATAAATGTATGTCATGGATCCATGAAGCATTACACCATGTTTTTGATAATATTCAGAAACAGTGATTCCATTCAAGTATATTGAACCCCATGAGATATGCTGAAGGAAATACAATTGAATTACCAAAAATATATTGAGTGCCTACCAGGTGACAATTGCCAAGGTAGACATTGAAAAGCTGAAGAAGTGGGTAAGACAAAGAGGTTATCTTTAGGAACTCACAGCAACTACTAAATAAAAGAATAAGAAAAGGGACAGAATGGAAGGACAAGCCACTGAGTGTGATTGCACAATTTGTACATTGCACAAAAGTGCCTGGCTAAGGGAGCAAGTGACGGCTGAACTCGAGTCCATGCTCTACTTGCCAAGCCATGTGTGCTGAATGGGAGCTGTACCCTCACGAAAAAGACACCTTTTATTACTGACCAAAGGTACTGCTCCCTTAATCAGGCCATGCATTCTCAGAGCTGTGACCACACACATGGGACTTTTCCTCTAATTCACCATTGCATAAGTTAGAATTTAAGCTCCAGATGGAAAAAAGTCACCCTGTTATTGAACAGTATATCTCAATCACCTAGAGCAGCACTGGCACATAATAAGCAGTCAATAAATATTTGTTGAATGTTGTTGAATAGATTAGTGGCAGCCCTGGGACGATCATATTAATTTGTGGTGGGGGAAGGGTCAGAAATGTTTATATTTTTTCTCTTATACAAATTTCTATTTCCTTTATTATTTTCTCTAATTTTCTACCATCATTTCCCTAAATAAGCTTTGAAGGATGGGTTGGGACAGACCACAGTGAATAATGAAAGGAATCCGTTGTAAAATGATGAAGTCAGTTTTAAAATCAGTTCTAAAATATTTAAAATGATTATGAAATATTGAAAGTCTCCAGAGCCAAATTCAGTTAATTCTTTGGGGCTTTTTCCAGTAATGAGTAAGCATAAAGGGGACCCAAGAGAGAGGATAAAGTGGGGGTATTAGGTTTAAAATAGACCTTAGCAGTAACAATTGGGAGAGGCTAAAATTTGCCCCTTAAATCCCTTCCATGATGGACATTTCTCAATGTGACAGACATAAAGCAAAGAACTTAGGTGAAAAAGCTTTGACACATATCTTCCAGGTTTCTCTCTTCTTTTCCTAACATTAACCTGCAAGTGAAAACAAAGCCTATCAAATACTGCTTTTTAAGTCGGCATTTAACATTTCTTCCTTTGGCAAAGGTACATTTATTAAATATATGACAAAATGATCATTTAAAATGCATCCATATGAAGAAGATATTTCAAATAGGAAATGTTTGCATATGGGAATTATGCAAATTTTGTTTGAAAGTAGTTGTTGAATAAATGACCTCATTATTATGTAAGCAATTGTTAACTCATTTTCCAGGAGCACATGATTCGAGAGGATGCCAAGGGCCTAACGCCAAGACAGTGTGCTATAATGGAGGTGGTCCTGGCTACCATCAAGGTAAGGTTATAGGGCCCCTAGATGTGTGTCCAGAGAGGCCCCCAGGTAGCCCCAGAGACAGGTAGCCCTGACGCATATCTGCAGAGCTGTGCTATCCATGGATATGGTGGATAGTTAAACAGACACATTCCTGGAGGATACCAGATTTGGCCCTTTCAATCTCCTACTTATATCCATAATGCATTGTGCTTACATTTGCTCCCTTTGTCTCTTTCTAACAAATGTGTGTGAAACCTGTGTGGTCACTTGTGTGCCATCAGTTCCTGTAACATGTTTTCAAAGAAAGACATATATCCCAAAATCTAGTTAAACAGATGCTTCGAGAGGATTCTGGGTTGACAGAATTTGTTTTTATGTTTTCTGTGCCTGTTGAAATGATTTTTTAAAATACCAACCTCCTCCTTTATCTTATTAAGTACAATAATTTAATTTTATCTTCCGTCGAAAACTCAAATGCACTGTATTGCATGTATCAATATTTTCATAGCCAAAGGTTGACCAAAATTTATTATAGTATGGGCTAACTATGTACAGATCTCAGGATGTCACTTAGAAGTTCTTTTTTTCAAATAATTTTTATATCTATATAGACATATTTTATATTTACATGTGAACGTTTATTAAAGAGTTTGAAAAATAAACTTATCTTCTAAACTGAAACTATGTCCAGAGTTTCTGCTTTTCACTGAGGAAGTATCTATCATCAAGGATGTGTGAACAGTATAGCAAGGAACTTTTAGCTGCTGTGAGCCATTTGCAGAGCACAGAATAGTCCCACTGAATAGAAACAAGACATTACAATGGTATTCATTAAAAGAGTTCTATCTGAAAAACAATTACATGCTTTCACAAGACTGTCATCTCATGTTTTGCTGCTGCAATGTTGTAAACTGAAAAATCAAAGTTGTGAGGTGAGAGTTTTGTGATGTGGGCAACGGGGTTGTGTGAGTTCAGGCAGCGAGATTACAGAAATGGAGTTTCTAAGGATGTGGCAAGAACTTGGAAATGTGAAAATTTCACAAAATAAGTTTGAGGAAAAAAGATGAACAACACAAAAAAGAAATAAATCAAAACAGTTCTTGAAAAAATTATTTTCAAAAATCTGAGAATGAAATAACTAATTTTTGGAGTTATAGGAACACTAACGGCTACATATAGGGATATGCCAATAGATAAGAGATCTGGAGTATACCATGAAAAGGGAAAAACATAAAATTTTTAGAATATGAATTTATCCCCTCCTGGATTTTATTAGGTCAATGCATGAATTTAGGGAGGAAGGAAAATGTGTTCTGTGGAAATAGGGAATAGTATCCAATGTGTTGACAAACCTGGCTCCCGTGCCCCACCCAAACATTTCTCTAGTCATTCTTGGTGGGGCCAGATAGCTACCACCTGCTGGCTGAGTTCTCCCCAGACTCTGAGACAATCTTGTCCCCCAAGAAAATCTCTTTGATCCACATCTTGAGAGCTCAAATATCCTATATTTCTGTTCAGGTCAACTGTGACAATCTTTTAATTCAGTCTCAGCCACCAGACACTTGCCTTGTTCTTTGAGGATGAAACTACTATCTAGTGTCTGAAATCCAAGAAATAGGTCCATGTCATTGTTTCGTTCCTCCAGGACTGGAGTCTGTTTCTGGTCCTCCTGAGTCACAGAGCCTGTGGTCAGGTCTCCAGGTCCCCTATTTCCTAACTTCTGCAATGCCAACTCTTTCTCCCTAGGAACCTCCATGCTAGGGCTGCTTTGCCTGCTATGAGACTCTCTTGACCCTGTGGTCTGCCCAACTGCCAAGGTATTCACTTGATATCTGATATCTGATTTTCAATGCCTGTCATCAGTTTGTCAAAGCTTAGACTCCCTTTATCTTGTCTGCCTCTGAGATTTGCCCCAACTGACTGTCCTACCAAGCAGTAATTCTGATGTTGACTACAAAGGAATTCAGGAGGAGGAGCACTACTTAACGTGTTTTAACACTAAGAGCTAGAGATTTAGTGTTTGCCTGGAGACCAGGAAAGGGAGCACTATAATACAAATAGAGACCTCAGGAGAAAGATGTTCTTAGACCAAAGCAGCATGATGCTACCCAGGCTAATTCCCAATGGCTGCCAAAGAGATGATGCTTAATTTCTCTCAATCTAATTGAACAAGCTAGAAGTGAAAAAATGAGAAAATGAAGGAGAATGCTATGGAGTTTGTAGAATATAGGCTAAAATAATGTTTTGTTTTTTTCAAATCTCTCTCTTGTTTGTATATCATCACACCTAATCCTTATAAACATCTTCGGTGTTAAATAGGTCAAGAATGACCATTCACATTTTATAGGTGAGAAGATTGAAGGTAAGGGGATTTAAGTGGTTTGTCCCAGGCCTTACTGCAGCTAGTAATTGGCAGAGCTGAGAAAGAGCTATAAAGCCCGTGTCCTTACTTCTATATCATAATTTTTCACTGAATATTTACAAAGTGTAAATAAAATGTAGCAGACCAAAATGGATAACCTTGCCTCAGAGGGATTACTTCTTTCTACATTAAAATACCATGTGTCAATTATTTAGATTCTGCTCTAATTATTTAAAAATAATTTGAAAATTGCCAGCCTTATACAAGGATGTAAACTCTCTTAAATACTAAAACTTTAACTGGGCTGGAACCATTTTGTCACACGAGTCACATGTAGCTTCAGTTATAAGTCATGGGTGTCAAATATGGCAGAAGTAACAGAAATCATGGTCATCTGCTATAGGTAGGATGTTAGGCTTTAAGATATTTTATCTACCTGACAGAACAGCCAAATCAATGGTATTTGAAAGTAAAAGTAGTAAGGTGACGGCATAAGACAGATAACTAACAACCTAATCAATATGTGCAAACTAATGGAGAAGCCAATAGGGAAACTTGTCTGAGGTGTCCTAGTTGGACTTTGAGTCCCAACTCCACACCTTAAGATGATTCAACACTGCCATGAGATTCCCTGAAATGTGGGTTTCTTTCAAAGAGAAACAGGAGACCTTTTCCTGATAGCAGCTACTCTTTGACATGGAAAAAAGCTAGCTGGTTAGATTTTTCCCACCCTTTCAAATCCTCCTGGAACTCTTGTTCTATGGACCTGAACATGACACTGTGTTAAATGTTGTATATATCCTCTGTATATATATTGCTACTGCATGATGTCAAATATATCTGACATATATTTATATTACATATATTTGACATCATGCAGTAGCAATACAGAGGTTTCTCTAAAAATAGTAAACGTGGACCAGGGCCTTCTAGAAATATGCAATTTGGGGTATAAGGGAAAGAATTTCGACTAAATATGAATTCAAATATAGCTTTGGACTTATTTATTGCTTTCCTATTTCATCCTAGATAATACAATTTCTTATACTCAGGATTCCAGACAAACAGAAGAATACGTTGATGAACCGCATTTTGTGCCGCAGAGTTTCTTACCCTCACTGAGGTCCTATCCTATTTTCCTATCTGTTATCCATGAGGCACTTTTAGTGGCTGCTTCTCAGTATCTTCTTTATCATTACAAGTATAATTTTCCTGCTATTTGAAATTCAGCTCCTGAAAAAAAGAACAAAATAATCTACCTAGTTTGGAGTATTGCAACTCAAAAATCATTATTTGAGAGCTTGCTGCCTGTACAAAGTATAGTAAGCAATGAGGAGGTGGCTGGAGATGGGAACTCTTGAATTGACTTCAGAAAAAAAACACCTACAGTCAATGAAATAAAAGAACTGCAGACATATGGGGGAGCGCAGAGAGGGTGATGAATCTTCTCTGAGTGTTTAGGGGAAAAGCTTCCTGGAGAGGGACATTTTGGACTTTGGAGACTGAAGAGGGACAAAACAATGAGAGAAGGGCATTGTAGGACTAACAAAAAAAAGAATGAGTGATGTAAGAAAAGGTATTGGTCAGCCTGAAAACTTCAAATTTTCTAGTGTGATGACTGGCTGAACATCACAAGGAGTGAAAGAGGAACTTTGGATTGGAGCCAGTATGCTGAGCTTGAACGCCAAAGTAAAGATCCTCGACCTTATTTTGTCAGCAAAAGGGAAACACTAAAATATCTCATGGGAGGGGGTAGCATATTATGATCTGATGTATAAAAGAGGATTCCAGTTACAGCAGAAAATAATTTTTAAATATATTTTCAAATATTCAAATATAGTTTCAAATAATTTCTAAAAAAGAAAACTTAGTGATTAACCATTAAAATTATAAAGTTAAGGTGGGTTATGGTTATGTCTAAATTTGTAAAAATGAATTGTCTGCATAGTTTTGCCAAAATTATGATACAGGTGTGGGAAATTAAAAATTGATGACGGGCAATTGCTACCAAAATAGTATGTGTAACCAAAAAGGGAATTCTTCTTACAATCCTGTGAAGAAGCATTAGCATATTCCCATAAGTCAGTAAAAATAGATTGTGAAAGATTTTCAATCTTGAAGAGTTAGAAGAATTTGGAGAGTTTTATTGGGATTATAAAAAGAATGGCTTGCTAAGCATGCAGACAATATTTTTCTTGGTTTTTTATTTAGCAGTACTATTTTTTTTCCCTACATATCAAAACTAGGTCTGAAGTGCTTTATTTTCTGTCGTGTCATGAATAATACAAGAAACAAAAAAAAAAGTTCAGCTATTTTTCAAGACAAAGAAAATGATACTTCATATACTTCCAAATCCCATTCAGATGTGATAATAGTGTACCTCACCACCTACCCTTACATTAGTGAAACAAGCATATTAATATATCTAGGGTGGAAGCCTTTACCAATGTCAGAAGATGGCTATGAATACAAACCTAAATAAAAGATCAGAAACTGTGTGAGGAATTGTACCACTGACAAGTACAGTAGCACAATAGTGGGTGATTAAGAGACAAAGACACAAGTATGCAAGTTACTCTCCTATGGGAATAATAATTCTACTTAAAGGATTATTGAGAGAAAATTAAATGAGTTATCACATATAATGCAATTAACACAG